AGTGTCAAAGTTGGATTCTGGAATCTTATGAGATGTTTCTATGCTGTAGAACACCGTATTGAAATCGATTGTTTGGCTGGGGGTGCCCCCATGTTTTGCATTTTCTTATGGGCAGCAGCCCTGAAGCACCTGGAAGTCAAGCAGCAAACCTCCGTGGGCGAGAAATTGTCAGACTCAAGTCAACAAGGTTCTGCCTGAGCTTAGCAGCATTAGCCCAGTGAGAACTTGGTGATTTATATAGATTTTTTTACCCCTAGGTCCTACTGTGCCTCTTTTGAACATGGGGGCTTGGTCTCGCTGCTGGACGTCACGTCCGAAGCACAGTTAGCCCAGGGCCGGTAGGATAGGGAACACGGACCCTATTTATGCGCTTGTTATTCAAGATTGTCCCATTCCTGGTTTATCCTATTCCTATCTACTGAGCCGTGAGTGATGGTCAAGGAACTCCTTCTTGCAGCTAAGGCCAAGATTGGTGAGATGGCTGGCAGGACCTTTCAGCGAAGAGATTGGTGACAGTTGTGATCTGGGTCAAGCCCGCAGGCACTGGAGGCCACAATTTTAGAGATGGTTCTTCTTTGGTTCAGCTGGGGAACTATCCCCAAACTGCCGCAACCATGTGAGCAACCGTCCCAAAAACAGTATGTAGAGCCGTCCGTCTTCAAGCAAAAATTACTTGAACCAACACAGGGAAGGCATGGCTCTCCAAAAAGGTGATGCCGTACCAGAACATGAAGGATGAACACTGTCCAAGTGTATTTGTTTGACATGTGTTTGTTCCATTTTGTAGCTTCTTGATCTCAAAGGGAATTTCATATGTTCTCATGAAATGGATGTTTTTACATGCATGTAAGAAGTCAAGAGCAGTCATCTCCGGTGGGGCCAAAGCTCGGGGATTTGAAACCACACCCCCCACCGATGCCTAGCTGGTGAATGATTTTTGCTGCTTGCAAGGCTCTTCCAATGTCAGCTGAGCTTTGCGGTTGCCTTCGGCTCGAGTGAAGTTTGCTTTTAGTGTTTGTGCTTATGAATGCACTTGTTTTGTTGAAACCTGCCTTTACTTACCACAACTGCCAAAAAAAAGCACAGCCTCCCTTCACTTCCATGTGAAAGTCCAAAGTTGTCCACATCTGACGGAAGCGATGGGCCCCCCAAATCTATGTGATGGCATGAGATTGAACAAGGGGAGTTGTGACAGCACATAGATGGGTTCCGTCCGAGACCGTGGACCGGGTGCAGATCACCGTGGCGCTCGGCAGGAATCCCCGTCAGCTCCGCGCGGATCAGTGCTGGTTGCAGTCCGCGGGACAGATCGCCTGGGACCTCAGAGGTCCGGGAGCTTCGGGCATCGAAAGGCCACCCGTGGCTGAGACAAGTAGCGTTCGGACGCTAGGTGGAGGCCATCGCAAGTAGGTTGGAGGCAATCGCTACTAGGAACAAGAAGCTACTAGTAACTAGTACGTAACAAAGGGAAGTTGCCTTGGATCACTCTTTCTGTGATTCTTCTTGTTTCATTTGCGCGGCCAGTGAACGCATGGCTGAAGATCCCACAGTTGGGCCAGCATGGTTTGAAAGGCAATTCATCACCATGGCACTTTGTCCCCCTACCCAGGTGCACTCGCAAACCAGGCCCAGGCCAACCTTCTCTGTGGGCTCCGAAGGCCTCTTGAGATTGAGACATGTCAACTCTGGTTTTGGGGGCTTGGCCTTGGAAAAACAGCAGGGAGAGAGACCAGAGTTTGTTGACCAAACTTCGATTGCGGTTTTGGTGGACACTTCGCTTTCGGCCCGCGACCCGCTTCTTTGACGCGTCCAGTCACTGAAACCGAGACCTTCAATCACCTCACCGGTGAGATGACGATCACGGGCGAGTGCTGAGGAGATGGTTTTGGGTCAAGGCAGTGGGTTTGGGAGTCACGGTGGGCCACAACTCAAGCAACCCTACGCCCTACGCTGTAAAACTTGGAACATCTTGGAAGACTTCAATCAGTTTGAACACCATTCATTGCTAGATACCCTGTTCCATATCATTTGCTGGAGCAAGATGAGCAAGGTGTGAAGGGACTAGCACGTGACCCTGTCAAAGTTATTAGCGCGTGCTGCTTTCTTCTTCCAATTTCTTTTGAGTGAATTCTGGAGCCAGACCCAAATCAGGTAACGACCAGCAAGTCCACCTGTCTCGTCACCGACTGTCTACCAAAACCCCTTGAATGGGACCCATGCCCCAATGGCCCTCCTAGTGTGACACAACGCATATAGGCACAGGATGGCACAGGGATTTTAAAGCCATTGTTGCACAGCGGATAGACTGAGAACAGTGCGCAGTCTTAGGGCACTGGTGTCTCTCAATGGAGAGGCGGAGCTTGGTGAGATTCGGAAGGCTTAAACGAGACCATAGAGAACGTCAAAGCCAAAGTGATGTTCCGGTGCTTTCTGCCTCTATTGTGTACCGCACCTGCGATCGGGCCAAGATGATGGTCACTGTCTATCAGGACCTGGCTTCGCCTTGCGGGTTCAAGCAGATGCTTTCACAGAAACACGTAGAACATGGCCTTGCCACCGTTGCAAGGCCACAAGTTAGGTTAGCTAGCTAGTTTACAGCTTACCCTCCGTGTGACGTAGAGTATGGAATGGGAATGCAGCGGCATATCTAAAGTAAGTATGACACTCAAAAACCAGCGGAGGGTAGCTGTGTAGACACTCCATGACCAGCACCACCATCCAGCCCTAGCAGTGCGCTCGCTGTTCCAGCCCAAGCAGTGCGCTCGCTGCTTTTGAACAATTCTGATATGAACACGAAGGTTTGTTGGTGTGATTGAACTGCTTACATCGTTTCTTGTACACGGTGCAGTTATGCTTTCTTGATTTGCGGAATCTGAATTGATCCACGGCGATTCTTCCCAAACTGCTCTTTGAATGGGATTTGGATTGGTGTGCTAAGTGTGCTCATGGAATTTTAAAGCAGGCGAGTGCGGAGAGGAATCAAACAACCTGCGCTTGGCCAGCTTGGCTTGGGAGCCATGCACCCATCATCCCTTGGCCTCAATTCAACATCAACACGTCCCCAGGTCCTTTGTTTGAAGGAGTTTGTTTGCTGGCCCTGGCATGTGTGCGAGAGGGTGACAGCGGGCGACGTGGTCATTCTTGCACTAAGTGCATTTGTCAATCTCCATGGCCCAAGCGAGTCGCCTAGACTCACTTCATTCAACTCCGCAGAACGCAGGATTTGTTTTCTCCAGGAGCTATGTGTTCAGGTTCTACATTCATAGCGCGAGAGAGAGAACAGAGAGAGAGAGGGAATGCTAATAAAATATGCAACCAATGTAATATGATAGAATCATAGAATTAATATCACAATTCACAAATAGAAATATCATAGTACACTGAGCAACTTGCTAACCTCCGTAGCAACATCGTTGCCCAAAGCCGGTGGCCACATGGCGCCCATACCTGTGCATAACCATCATGGCAGACGGTGTTACCGACAGTGTTGCAGTCTCCGAGGCTGGCAGAGTTGTAGGATTCAGTGGCTCAGAGTGGCTGGCAGATCGTTGATCTGACGAATGTGACTTTCCACGTGCAAGCAGAAGTATAGAGGTACTCCCTGAATACACATTAACACGCGCACAGGAACCCAAGAGTATCCAAAAGTGAGTGTTTGCAATTTAATTGGCAGTCCGGGAAGCTTTACCGTTGTCCTGCTGTGCTCAACTTCAGGTTTGCTGTTACCAAGCAGATCTTCAATTACTTGACCATCAATCAACAACCCGCTAGGTTAGTTGAAGTGATTTATCTATGAGGACTTCCAGACCATTTTTCCAATTTTCAGGAGATGCTGTATGTTCAAAACGAGCCAATGCCAGAACCTACGCAATCATAGTGACCCCAAGGAAAGACGAGTTAAACTTTGAGTAGATTAAGCGGATTAAGGATGTTGGAGGAATGGCATCAACCCAAGATCCTCCTAACCCATTCCATTCGAAGAGGAGCCGCCAAGATCTTTTCTATTTTTTGATATTTTTTGATATTTGCTGCATCACAACGCAACCCAAGGAACTTGGTCGTTTACCATTTCTTCAGAATGGCACCCACTCTGCGCTGTTAAACCAGCTTGGATGAGGACTGAAAAATAGGCCAACTCATGAAAAAGCGACCTATCGCAGCAGCTCCAGTTGCGCCACCGCTCCACGCCGCATTGGCTCAGCGGTAGTTCACGGGCGCGAATTGAAAACTCAGCGCCCATGGAGTAGTCGAAGGCTCAGTGACAGGCATTAGAGGAGAGCTTAGGGTCATTATTCTGTGACCTGGGACCTCAAAGGACCTCAGTCCTATCCAAAAAGGAATGCACAGTTTTTCCACGGACTCAGAACTCAGAACCTATATATACAGTCCACACATCAAAGGGGGCTCTTCAGAATTGTTAGCAAATGCAGCAGTTTAGAAACAATTATATACCTCAACGTGCTCAGGGGACCTTCTGGCATGGCATGTGCTTGAGCATTTGGAGTCAAGGAACAATTCTCGTGGTTTGGCCAGTCCGTTCTTGATCTAAAACCTGAAAATGAAAAGTCAGGGGTGCACAGAATAGGGTTTTTTGGCATTAGACCTGTCATGCTATACCACATGCCTTAAACATCACCTACCAAGCCGACGACTGGACATGTTTTGCCCAGGTTTCGGAGGTAGAAGAGGCCTGACATCGGGAGTTGCAAAGCACCGCGGGAGGTCAGGCGTGAGAAGGCTCTATGGGTCGCAGAAAGAGCCCGAGGCTTTGGAGCCAAAAGGACCAGCAGGTCCTAAGCTACTAGTAACAAAAAGCTACTAGGGGCTCCTGGCCTTACTACTAGGAGCAAGGACGCTACTAGTAGCTCCTGGCCTTACTAGTAACAAAAAGCTACTAGCAACAAAATGGCTAAGGAGTCGAAAGAACCATGGCCATCAGTGACCCTTCCGTCTGCGCACCTGCTGGCTGCCATTCTCGGCACCCCCAGGCCGTCCACGGGATGGCAACGAATTTGAGCCGATCAGGCGTTCGGGTCCCCTTGGCGTGTGCGGATCAACTGTGGTGATGCAAGGTTCGGAGACTATGGGTTCTTTACTAGAGCAAATTTTGCTTGTATCACTCTGGGAAGATGAGGAGAGATGAGAAACACAGATTACACAGATTCTTCGTGATCCTTTCAAACATGAGAAACAAGACCCTGGCCGGGATATCCACCAACTTCGGGTCCAACGACCTTCGGCGGCTTCGGCAGCGACCCTTTGGAGGTCTGCCGGACGTCAGCCGATCGGTTTGGTCGCTTTGGTCGACGCGCCGGTCGTGCCGGTGGGGTTTGTTCAGAAACGTTGGAACAAGGGGAATAGCGACGTTCACGAAACACTCGCTGGTTGGGATTCGCTGGGGGGTTGGCGAGGTGAAGTGAATCATTCTCTTCATTGATATCGAACAACTCCTACTTTTAGTGATGATGAGTTGTGCAAAAGTCTTTTTGATGGAGACACTCGGACTGGCATGGCTCAGCACATATGTTGCTTGCAGCTACAGTGGAAAAGCTGGGTGAATCGCTTTGGTAGCTGCAAGCTTTGCGAACCCCACCCACCCACCCCTTGTTTGCTGGCCGAAGATGGCAGAATTTGGGCAATAAGTGCCAGCCCTGCCTGCCTGGGTGGCTGGCTGCAATGCAACCATTGCAAAAGAGGAGTGCTGGGTTTTGGGAGAGCTTTCTCAAAAGCCTCACCTCCTTCTACTTGTAGCTGCTGGCTTTCAGGCAGCCTGGGCAATGCTGGCGTGGCCAGCGTTGCCTTCTTGGTCGCGGTGGCCGCCATTTTTGCCTCGGTCACGCAGCCGCAGGATTTTGGGATGGGCATGTTTGGATGGTCCAGTGTACTCCACAGAGGTGCTACAGGGGTATAGGGTCAACTCAATGTGTGAATTGGTTTAGGAAGGTGGGCTGAAAGACCGGTTGAAAATGATGGCTGAAGCGCCCGGGTCCCTTCAACTATGGAATCATAGAGCTATACTAGACTGGTTAGAATAGACTGGTTTTCTGGACTCTTGTTACGCCCAACCGCATGCTCTTTGAGACGCATTTCCTCCGTAAGGCCTTGAGGCCTGTGAGCATTGGCTCAAGCCATGGTGCGACACAAAACGGCCAACAGTGCAAGACATGGCTTGAAGGCTCAAGACTCTGAAGCCAATGGAAGATTGTTCCTTCAGACATCCAACGACCTTTAACTTATAGACTAAAAACAAGCTCCCTCACATCTCACATCATCAGATGACAAGTCCCTGATTCGCTTCCTTCTGCCTTTGCCTCATGACCGATGGGCTGCATTGTCGCGGAGGGGCCTTAGTACTTCTGGCCACATCCTTTGCCGGTCACTTCAAGCCGTGGACTTCCATTGTCCCCACACCAACCTTCAGCGCCAGCGGTAGCGAACGCCACCCGCGTCCTTCAGCGCCGCCAGGGGTCCGGCGGTCCGGGCGGCGATTTCCCAAGAGGCGGCCCAGGGGCGGGGTGGATGTGGTGGCAGAGGCAAGAAGGCAGGCGCCTCCAGCACCAGGATTCCTTAAAGGACTTGTTCGTCCAGATGTGGTGGTTGAGGAGGAGCTTGAGGCTGATGATGTGATGGTGCTGGACAGGCCAGGTAGCACCTTCTTTCTGGGTTTTAAGTCTTAATATGATGATATGTGTTCAGATGTGTTCATGGTTTTACGTGTTGCTTTAAGTGAGATGCTTTAACATGTTTTAACGATCAGTGTGTCTCCCAGTCGTCTCGTCAGGCAGTCAGACTATCAAGACGTGGTTCGCTGGGTCATGGCAGGGGGTCGGGCCTTGGTGGTGGACCACTGGCGTGACCTGGAGCAATGTCGAGCTGCTCTTCTGAAGCCCTTCCGGAAGACACCAGCTGATGCCCAGGAGGCCGAACAGCAGCGAAGGGAGAAGAAGCAGCTCTCCGATCGCCTCTTAGGTCCTGTCGCCTCCGGGCAAATCGCATTGCAAGGTGCACCTCCAGCGGAGTTCTTGCGATCTTTGCGCCTTTGGCATGCCTTGTGCTGACTGGGCCATACTGATATATATATATATACATACTGAGTACTAGTGATGATATTGCCAGTAGTTAGTAGTTGAGGTCGACAGGTGCCCATGCATATCAGAGGGAACTTCATTGATCATAGATGTCATATATGATAGAATGGAAGAAGTCATTAATGGAGTCTGTCAGTTTCTTCCTAGTGTGTCCAGTTCAGATCCAAGATTTCCAAACAGCAAGCACCATACATTTCCATCATCATGAGATTTGATGCCAAGCGTCGAAACCATCGAGACTCTGTTTATTTCAGGTATGGAGACCTTTTCGAAGATGGCTCCAGCTTTGCTTTGCCCTCTGGCGTTTTGTTGGGCTTGGTGAACGCATGGCAATACTTTCAGGGGGGCCTTCGTTTCCCATTCTTCAAACCGCCAGTCTTGTCTGGCCCGGTGCGTCCCTTCTATGGTGTTTATGCCTCCCCATACCCTGTGACCCACTTGGAGTTGCTCATCGAGTGGCTTCAGAACCGCAGCGGGCACCGGCTGCAGACTGCCCTGGACTTGGGCACCGGCTGTGGCGTGGTGACCTTGATCTTGCGGAAGATCGCCGGCGTCCCAAGCATTGTGGCCACGGACGTGAACCCCAATGCCGTCTACGGCGCGCGCGAGGAGTTCCGGCGCCAAGGCGTGAACCACGTGGAGGTGCTGCGCTCTGACCTCTTTGGCGAACTGCAGGGACGGCGCTTTGACTTAGTGGTCTTCAACCCGCCCTGGTTGCCTCTTCCGAAGGCCGATTCAGAGGAACCCAAGAGGACGGTACTGGATGGGGGCAACTTCTATCCGGAGGAGTTGTTCCCACTGCTGTTCGATGGTTTACCCAGCATGTTGAATCCTGGCGGCGTGGCCCTACTTTTGTTCTCCAACCATGCCGTCAGCAGAGGATATGTAGATGAACATCCATTCCACTCCGCCTTCTCACGGAGCCGGTCCAAAAACGCCCTGCACATCCGGGAGGTTTTCACTCGAGAGTTCGACCTGGAAGGGAGACGTCGACGGACCGGACGCCCTTCAAGCGAGATCGAGCCGTGTGCAGAGCTGTGGGAGTTTCGAAGAGCGGAAAAAGGCCACTTTCTGTGTGCACTTTCTGGGTGATGCTCTTCACGACACCCGCGGCTAAAGGATTACAAACACAGGTTCTTAGGGAATTGCACCTGATGGAGTGCACTGCGTCTACTATATCATATAAAAAATTAGTGTCTTTATGTTTTTTTTCATTGTTTTTCCTTCACTCGAGCAGGAACAACTTTGCAGTATCCGGATTCATCAGTTCAGAAATGATCGGAAATGTATGTGTTTTTGTACAAAGGCATGTAGGATATACTGTTAAAAAACAACCCTTTCATCAAATTTACTGGTATTTACATTGTTTTATGCATATTTTTTGATATAAAAAGTCTAATTACTTTACTTCGAGTGATCCCCACCATGACATTCATAAATTTTATTGTATATCTTCTTGCATTCTATCTGGCAAACTATCTAGCATACTATCTGCCATTCAATCTGCCATTCTATCTGGCAATCTATCTGACATAGTATCTGGCATACTGTCTGGCATACTATCTGGCATTTTGTCTGGCATACTATTTGTCATTCTATCTGGCATATCTTCTGGCATTCTATCTGGCATTCTATCTGGCATATTTTCTGGCATTCTATCTGGCATATCTTCTTGCAGCATATCTGGCAATCTACCTGGCATTCTATCTGGCACTTTATCTGGCAAACTATCTGGTTGAGGTCCAGCGGTGCACACTGCGATCGGATCCTTGCGGTTGAGGTCCAGGGGTGAACACTGCGATCGGATTCTTTCGGTTGAGGTCCAGGGATGCACACAACGATCGGATCCTTGCGGTTGAGGTCCAGGTATGCACACTGCGACAGGGTCCTTGCGGTTGAAATCCAAAGATCCACACTGCGCTCGGATCCTTGCGGTTGAGGTCCAGGGGCGCACACTGCGATCGGATCCTTGCGGTTGAGGTCCAGGGGTGCACACTGCGATCGGATCCTTGCGGTTGAGGTCCAGGGGAGCACACTGCGATCGGATCCTTGCGGTTGAGGTCCAGGGATGCACACTGCGATCCGGAGCTTGCCAGACAAGATCGGCGAAGCAGATTGGCGAAGAAGATTGGCGATGAAGGTTAGCGATGAAGATTTGCGATGAAGATTGGCGAGGAGGTTGGCGAGGAAGGAAGCAAGGAGGAAGGAAAGAAGGAAGGAAGGAAGGAAGAGGAAGAACAATTGTGATAAAATCTAACAACCCTCACCTGGCAGGTGGGGAATAAACACAATGCACTTTACAATTCAAAAAAGACGAACAAAATAAGCAAAATAAAAATATGTCCCCAATGACACTATTTCTGCATTTGGTTACACAGGCGCACTCCACGTCAAGAAGTGCTCAAGCCTTTGGAACGCAGGGGCGCACATTCGTTCCGTTCTCATGTTCATTTGTTTTGGGATGTTTTGGGTGCTTAGTGCTTGGATTTCGGCGTTTCCTGAAGCAGGTGATCGCGAATGGCATCAGAGGAATTTGTAAGATCCAGTGGTTAGTAAATAATGCAATTGCGCTTTCTACAGACAGTTCCAGCACAGCAAGACAGCTTCGAGAAAAACACGCTGTTGGCAAGGAAATGGAGCGCAGAATGGTGCCCAGCCAGTCCTATCACATAGACAATGCCATTTTCCATTGCTATTATAGTCCAGGAGTGTCCCTTCAAGAAGCGGAGGCTGCCCACACAAGTAGTTTCTTCTTCGGACGCTCGAGAAGCGGCAATACATGTTGCCCCGTGAGCCCAACATTTCACTAGTTGTATGAAATACGAAAAGTCGCTTAATGGAAACAGAGTCCCGGATCCAACCGATGAGCACCACTGAACACCCCTCATGCATACATTTCCTTCGCCTACAACGATGAGGTTGCCCAAGAATCTGCGACGCGGGGTTTGCATAGAACACAACTTGATATGGCCTGCAACTGCAACTTCATATTTTCCAGGGCTTGCGGCAGTTTTAAGACGTTTTGAGGCAGGCCGATGATAATGACACACGCACACCAACATACACGCACACACTTAGATCATGGCTCGCAAGAGCTATATTTGTTATGACTTCCCAGTGAGATTAGCCCTTTAGACGAATATAGCGCTTGATTGAAGGAACGGCAGGAGTGGCTGGGTCGATCGAACAGAATGTTTCAACATCATTAGCCCTTCAGAGTGAGCTCAACAATTCCTGCAGGTACGTGACTTTGGCGTCCCAAAGTCATATCACAACACGATGGAAAGGTCTTCGTTGGGCAATGCCTTCCAAAGTGTTCATTGCCCCCTTGCTCTGTACATGGAAAGATGTAACATTAGACAACATAAGAGTGAATTAGCTGCAAGTGTTCCTTAGTGTAGTCGAAATCCTTAGAGACAGGAGTTGACACACACACACACAGATGTGGTAGAGACCATAGGATAGACGCGTATTTCAGCAGTTTCCGCCGAACAGGTCAGGATTGGATGGTTCAAGTAGCCACCTGTTTCCTACCTTGGTGGGATTAGCCAAGCCCAACGCTCGATGGTCGGTTGAGGCCTTAGCAGCAACTGGTGCGGCGGCCGCAGCTGGCGCGGGCATTGCTGTGCTGGCTGCAACCGGGGCCGCGTTGACCGGTGTGAGGCGGGAAGAAAGTCGAAGCAGGTTGAGACCATTGCCAACCAGTTTCCCCAGTTTTCATCCATCACGCTTTGCAATCTTTTTGCCAAAGCCGGACTTTGTAAGATATGTGTAAAACGAGTTGGGACGGACATGGAGCTTCACACAACCCAACGCCTAGCGGGAGCTGCGTTTGGCTTTGCACATGTGAGCCATGCTGCCCTCCATGGGCCGCATACCCAGTAGAGTCCTTGCCCCTAGTAGCAATGCCCTTTGTACCTAAGAGTGCCACCACCAGTGCTTGAGAACTCCGTTTTGACCACAGGAGCGGCGATGAGCCTTGCTGGGCGAGCCACTGTGGGCGTCAGGCCGGGGTGTGAGGTAGGAAACGAGCTGTGCACCTTGGGCATTCCGTCCATCCCGCCAGGATCGCTTAAGCTCAGAGCTGGTATTGCCTGCAGGCGTGGCGAATGACACTTTGGGAGCTTTCAGGGTGCTGCTTGCATGTCAATGTGGTAACCGACTGCGGAAGGAAGTGAGCATACTTGCCGAAGGGCCTCGTAACTTTAAATGGATAGCTCATGTTGCCTAGAATATCCTAGAATATGTATGAAGATCCAGGCCCTTTGTTTTAAAGTTGCTCAATTGTAGCTTGGATGGACAAGAGGTAGTAGAATGCACTTGCCCTTTAGCCGGCCGGTGGCTGTTGGCGTTCCATGGTGTATTTGGGTCCGTTCCCAACCAGCGGCAGTTGGCCAGAATTTGCCATTTGCGTTGGGCATGAGACAATATCAGACATTATCAGACATTTACCATCGAGACGAGATTTGTGGCGGTGGGATATGCCAAATTCATGTTTATATAGACGTTTGTCCGTATGTGAGTCTGTATGTGCGGACTTCAGTTCAGTTATGACATGTTCCAATTGAACAACACAGTCGCCATGTTTTTGTGCAGGAATGCCCTCAATTGTCAATCAAACAAGCATAGAGTAAGATAGTATTGGAACATGTTCAAACACACACTTCCAGGGGAGACAAGTCTTTGTAGAGACATGTAGAGACCATGATCCGCCAATCCATGTTTTCCACTTCCTGCCAAATTCACTTCTCAGAGGCCCCGGAGCAGTGGTCATTGCAATGCTTTGTGGTGTTGTATTTTTGGTGCATCCACCGGTGTACGTCGTGTGCGTATCTACTAAGCCTCCATGTCGCTAAGAGACCCATGTCGCTTTTCGTCACCGGTTTCCGTCGCCAGCTCCGCACGTCGAGCTGGACGTGTCCGAGTCACTGCCCTGCGGGACGCGCTCGGAGAAGGCCGGAGGGAAGCGGGTTGGCCTTGGCTTGTCAGAGTGGACGTTTCACAGGTAGAGAAGGTTTCAGATACGTAGAGGGTTTGGGTTCGTTAAGTCATGCTTTGCATGTGGTGCCTGTTCAAAGATACCAACACTTACTTCATACATTCATTGTTATACCGCCTAGTAGTACTATGGCATTATATATGGCCGCATTGTATCCAAGACTGTGGTTTGAGGTTTGAGTTTTCTTTGAACACGAAACGGGGCGTCCGAAGAAGCAACACCCATGTTTCTTCCCAACTTTGAATGAACACACCCGGCATCCCAAGGGCCCTAGAAACTAAATTTGACAAAACTCATGTGTTTGACAATATCGTTTAGCTTATTATGCTTTGTTGGTTTCTTGAGCCACACGTTGTAGGCTCCTGGGCCGGGAGTCAGGAGTCCATGTCAACCATCGTCCACCCCTTCCCGCAAGTACCTTTGTACAAGGGGATGATCATGCCAAGCGGCATGGCCTCATTTGTGTGCAAATGGCTTCCCTGCGAGGTGCGGAGGGTGCGTTTCAATCTCACCCAGATGCTTGGAAGGATGAGTTGTTGGAGATTCGAGACAAAATTGTTGTGGACATTGCCCATCTGGTCTGTAGGCACCATATAAGTCTCCGGGCAACCTGGTCCCAAGTGGTTACCTACATATGCCAAAGGGCTGGGACACATGGATGAAGATGGTGGGTCCTGTCACTTTACTCTTTACTCATCCAAGAGTTACAACATCAACTTTAACTCTGGAATCATTTTCATTGCCAATTAGGCCAGGCCTTTTGACTTCGGCCGCATGTTCTGTGAGGGCAACTATGTTGTGGAGATCCTGAACTTGTCTTTGCAAGGGTCAGCAGAGACAGTTGACGCTGACCCTGCTGCTGCCGACCCCCCTGGGTTTGTCTTAGCGCAGTGATGTCAACATGAAAATGCTTGAAGTTTTACTACTAGGAACAAGAAGCTAGTAGTAACAAGTGCCACGCTACTAGGAACAAGTGCCTTACTACTAGGAACAAGTGCCACGCTTCTAGTAACAAGTGCATCGCTTCTAGTAACAAGTGCCTTACTAGTAGTAACAAGAAGCTACTAGGGGCTCCTGGCCTGAAGTCTTAACTTCATGGGGTTGTCTCGGCTCGTCTCTTCTTCTGGAATGTCTCGTTGAGAAAGCTTACTGCAAGTTGCATGGAGCAACATTGGGACCACAGCATACCACAGCTATTTGGATATCAATTTCCTCGGAGTCTGTCTTTCCTTTTGTAGAGGGGTAGTCGCCACCACGTTGCGTTGCTATCGTTTCGCATTGCGCGCCACCGGCGCCGCCGTTAAATGTTGCAACGCTGCAGCCGAGGAACACGGTGCATGAGATCACCCCCTACTCCGAGATCTACGGTATGCATCCGTGCCTTGAGCAGGTGATTGGCGTGCGGTGGGACAATAGAGGTGGATCTGGCACACAGGGATCCAACGCTCCAACATCGGGAGTTTCTGTTGACTGCACCAAGAGGGGCGAATGCAAATGCATAGACACTCTTTCTTTCTTTCTTTCTTTCTTTCGTTTTTTCTTTCTTTAACTTTCTTTCTTTCTTTAACTTTCTTTATTTCTTTAACTTTCTTTCTTTCTTTCTTTCTTTCTCTCTCTCTCTCTCTCTCTCTGTCTCTCTCTCTCTCTCTCTCTCTGTGTGTTTGTCTTCCACACGCGACCTGCTGCAAGATCAGCAAACTCCCCCAAACGGGTGACTCATCAACAGTGAGTTCGACGCTGGATCATCAGCCACCACGTTTGGTGCGCATTGGCATTGACCAATCAAAGCTTTCAGCTGTCCTTGATTGTCCTTGGCCCCCGTTTTCCAACAGAGTGCAGATAGCAATCGAGCATGGAGGACCCTTGGCCCTTGTGCATGTTCGTCGATCGGAAACTGTTCCGTAATCGCATGCTCAGATGTTTCATGATTTTTCTATGATTTTCCCTATATATATATATTATATTTTTTTCTAACTAGATGACTAGATCTAAGTAACTATATATAGTATTGTATAACTAGCATTCACATCGTTTCGTTACCTACTTTCGTCAAAAGCACTCAGCAAACAGCGAACCCAGGCGGCTCTTGGGAATTCAAGAAGGGGCTTCATGCCTGGAACCGATTGATGAGATGGATGAGGACCGGTACCATTGAATGGCTGATCCAGCGATGTCATGCCATGTCCGGTGTGTCCGACAGAGTCTCGTCGTTTTGCTTGGGCCGTGGGTATTGAAGGTCCTGGCCACCATGGTAATGAGGAAGAAGACGGGACTTATGGGCCGTGGTCGCTGTATGTTGCAATGGTATGCAATGGCCAGAGAGTTCCAGCTTGAACACTTGCCGCCAGGATGAGGAGAATGAGGATAATGATAATGAGGATAGCACCTTGACTTGCAATGGCGCCGAATTCTACCGTCGATGGTGTGCTCCGTTGGAATGATGTGGAAATTCGGCACGTTTTTGGTTTATTTTGCAGATCTCGTTTGAAATGCTTGGGCCTGTCGAGCTTAGTGTCTCGGAATGACATGTCACATGTCGATTCAGTTGTGCAAGATCATGTCATGTGCATGAGGGATTCAGGAGGGTCCTCTTTGACAAACTTCTGCTCTTTGCTGAGGCTTCGATGCTCTCGCCTTGCACCTCCCAGGGGTGCTGGCGAAGGAGAGGTCCTCAGCAGTTGGCAGAGATGAAGGTCAAGCGACAACTGCAATCCCTCCCTTTCTGAGTTTCTACTGTAAAAGGTTGCGCCATACCCACATCCACCCAAACCTACTCCACAGAGAGGTTGTGTCTTGCTTTGTCCGTTTGAGGCGTCCAAGAATGCGTGGCCTTTGCTGCTGTTGAGTGTCTTTTGGCTTTGGGCCTTGGGCTCCAAGACCTTGCTCGACTCTCGGCGTTGCCCATCAGCGCATGAGCCGGCTGTGTTGCCATATGTTGCCATAGGCCTCCGGACTGAAGACCAACAAAATGCATGAATGTGGGTGGCGTTTCAAGGCATACCTACTTGCCTTTCTTCATGTTTCTTCCCCTCTCCTTGAACTGTGGAAGTTGTTGCCGAAGTTCATCGACATGCAATCGCAGAACTTCACTTAAATCCTCAAAACCACTTCCAGCCCAGGGTCACGACTTCAAGTTCAAGTAGGATTTCAATGGGATAAACCGGATGGCCGGATGAAGCTTTCTCGGAGCTTCTCACATCCACTTCGTTGTCACAGCCGTGGGCTCCCAGTTCTTGGGCCAACCCCGCGTCCCGTCCGCCATGTTCGTGCCACCGCCGCCGAAAGTGGTCCCACCAATGCCGGTGGTGGCACCTTACGTCTCGGACGCGGACGTGCGGAAGCGGCTTTGGGAGCTTCAGATGCGGCAGCATCTCAAGGCTTTGGAAGGCCCTTGAAGCTTGGAGCGGGCTGTTTGTGGCTGTTGGTCTTGGTGGCTGTTTGAAAAGTTTGTGCCAGACTCTGAGCTCCGAAGCTCCCAATTCTAGAGTGTGCGACATTTGGAACCATGGGTGCCAACTGAAATCCCTATTGTATCCTATTGTATCTTATCCCTATTCACACCACTAAATAGGTTTTTGGCTTATTAGGAATTTGCTCACTTTAGATTTCTGACCAGGGGGCGTTGGCATGTTTGTAGCGCCCTGAAGTTGGAGGTGTGGAAGTGGAAGGTCAATTTTCCCGCTTGCCAATTGAAACCGTCGACCTGTGCAGACCCACAACACAACTCTCAACCCACAACCCAGCTGAAAACCTATCCATCCCCAGGCGTGTCCTCATTTAAAACATGTTTTGACGCTCTCGACACGGTGACCTACTTCGATGCCTCACGTGCCCTCCCACCTCGCACGCCAGGCGTCACCAGCTGCATGGATCAATCCGACCCGGTGGCGGCCAATGTGGCGGTGCGCAAGGCCCGCGAACGGGCCCGGGACTTCGCACGCGATGAGATGAGGACGGGCGCGGCCTGGCGCGGTGGTGGGGTGGAGGGCCGAGGTATCAGTGGTTGAGGCATGTTGATATTAAGGGTTTCTAGAATCTAGAAACTTCTAGGCGTCCTGTTAAGCATCATCTATTGATTGGAATCCTGTGAGTAGGAGTTCCCCAGCAATCTTTCTTCTCTGTGCCTGAGGGCTTGAGTATGGCTCCAGTAACTAGCCAGCCAAGGTGAAGAGCAGCCATCCACGTAAGTGAGAAGTAAGGAAGGATGGTTTACCATGTTTAATGTTTTGCAGTTGTAGTCTTGGCATTGAAGGTCGCAGTCACAGGCAAAAGGTATGCACCTTGGAGCTTTGTAGGTTTCTGAACGGAGGCGCGCCAAAACAGCAACCCGGCTCCCTAGCCACAAAAAGGAGGCTTAGCTGTGGCTGATAGCTGGACCACAGCATAATTGGCTACATGCCTTTGGCTCTTGACTACTTCAGGAGAGATGTGGTCGATGGAAACAAGCAACTTGTGACGCGACTGAAGGCCGGGGCATTGTGGATGTTCAAGCCAGACTGCGTCCAGCACATCAGTTTCTGTCATGCCTCCACTTGGCTTCCCAAAAGTGATGAGATCCACAGATCCATGAGTAACCAACTCCACCAAGCAGATGGATCAACAAAAACACAGATTGAAGATACTATATATTTACTGTATTTATTTTGTTGATTTGTGTGATAGTTTCAGCGAAGGGTCTGGAGGTACCCTCCAGTATGCCCCCAAAGTGATGCTGTTTCGGTGTCCCAGCCGTCCTGCCTGCTCATGCCGCTGTTCATGCGTGTGCTCCAGGAGATCGTGAAGAAGCCTAGCGCGTTGGTGGCGGAGACGCCTCCACAATCCAATACCAGATATGAGACCTGGAGGTTGTTCATGAAGTTTCTTTAGTTTTGAAGCATTCGTTTTGCGTCATGTTCTTTCTGTCCTTCCCATCCCCGTAATTGGGGGAAACAAAGCCTTCCCAGGTGGCCCTTCAAGGACAGAGACTCCCAAATTGGTGCTTCTATAATTTTTACGTCCAGGGGTCCAGGATCATTTTTGGGAGCGCTGATGCGCCCTCAAGTTATTTCTTTTGTCTGTGTGACTGGCGATGGACCATTGGCTCATGGGCCATGCCGAGCACTTGCATCGGTTCACTTCGGGTTGCCATGTCTGAGGGGTGAAATCCCGGTTGCGTGTGAAAGGTTTGTCGTGGTTTCAGACTATAATCTCGCACGCCTTCCTCCAAGGAAACAGGGTGACCCGGGGTGACCTGCGAAGATGGGAACCTGAAAGAGCTTCAAACCAAAAAGCGGCCGAGGACATTTACATATGAAACATGCAACATATTTTGCATACTTTTGTCGAAATGGTAAAGAACCTCCAGATCGAAGTGTTTTCCCTTTACAAAACCCTTTGTATCCCTTTGTTAAAGTTTTTATTAATCGATAATTCTAATCAGACTGAACTAGACTGAACTAGAAAGCTTGAAGCCTCGGTGGAAAGTGCGTTTGTGGCTCTGTGCCATTGGGGAAGGGGACATATATGTGTGTGTAAATGCTGTCGCTGGTGAGCAGCGCTATTGATAGCAAATCTGTAGTGGGCGGGCACCCAATACCAAAATCAGTTGGGGGCATCTTAGTAGGAGGCGGGCAATTCTAAAACAAAGGGGACAAACGCCTAGAGGCTACTTAGACGAGGATCCATACGAAAGACCTTCAGTTTCTTCCACGTCTTCTCAAACCAATGGATTGTATTTGATGGTGGGATTTGGCACTCCAACACACCCCCGTTCTGTCTCCCAAATCCCAAGGAGATGCTGAAGCGCGACCGACAGCTTCGGCAGCGAAACATTCAGCCCCTCTGGCTTAACAGTCCGTTGTTCCAAGGTTGTCGAAGGGCTCCAATTGACTGCAGGGCATGATCGCGTCACCATGTTTTCCTTTTTGTTCGTCGCCCCCACACCTGCAAACTTCCACTACCTTTCACGTTTGCCAAGCTGTTTGCCTCCTCCAGTGGCATCCACGGGCTGAGTAATTAGTAGCATGTTCCACGAGCGGAAAGTGGCCAAGGAATGAAAACAAGTCCCTTGTGCGGAGGATCCTCTCTGTAAAAAGCAGCGTGGATCGTAGTGGTCTCGAGAAGGACTACTGGAGGCTCGAAAACAGGGCGCGTCTGAACCAGTGCCGATTGGGACATTGGAGGCTAGTATGAAGCAGAATACGAACAGTAACAGTCAAACTCAACACGAAGCTGCCTCACCCTTCCACGACCTCTCACTCGGTCGCCAGGCACCGGAAGGATGTGAATCGCCTCCAGCAGATCCCGTCACCTCGCCGTTCCAAGCGCAGTCCGCGCGCAGAGCGCAGCAGCTCAGAGCGCGCCGATCGCTTCTTGATGCGCAGTCCGCGCGCACCACGGCAATTGGAGGAGACTTTGCCGGTATTTGGTCTTCATCCAAGACGTCAAAGGTTTTTCTGTTTCCACTACTGTACTTGCATTTGATGTTAGACGATGTCAGTTACATTGTGGGAATATTTGGGAATCACATGAGTCCGGCCTCACCATGAAAAAGGATGAAAAAGGAGTTGCCGATTGAAGTGACGGCTGGGCCTTCAGTTCTTGAACCAAGCTGTGAAGAACCAATGGTCGACTCTGCACGGTTTTTTGGTGGATTTGTGTGGATTTGTGATATTTGTTGGATTCCCAGTGCGGTCAGGAGCTTCCAGTACGCACTCCCAGCGCTGGCTCCTACAGGCTGGATCCGACGGTCGCCAGCTCGAGGGTCGCCAGCTGGTCCGCCCAGCTGTCGACCCACCAGGGTTTGCAACCATGCTTTAACATAGAAGCCTTTGTTACCAGCTTCTTGCTATTAGTGGTAATGGCCTCCAACCTAATTACTAGCTATGGCCCTCAACCTACTAGCCATGCTTTTAAGATCTTTAAGTATGAGATGATGTGGGACACGTAGGGAAACTCGAAGAGTATGATATGAGGAACCACGACTTGTCCTATTGGCCTGTATAAAACTACGTATGTAATGCTAATATTACTTCAAAAGTTATATATATATATATATGTATTATATATTATGTTTATTTATATATATAGAGATATATGTGTATATATTTGTATTCTGTTTGTGCTGGGGCACGTATCCAAGGCTTTCCGATAGAGCCATCGACCTGAGGCCTCTCCGACAGCTGCCGCTGCCGCCAATGAAGGGGAGTAGCTCAGCACCGCAGCTGGTTAAGGCGATGGGGCAGTTTGACAGGGATGGGTCTAAGCCCATCCAGTGGATGAGCATGTCAGGGGCCCTAATGATCAGGCCATTGCATTTGCTAAGTGCCACTGGTACCCTGTGAAGGAGAAGCAGGAAAGACCCGTCCCGAAGAAGAAACAGCACAGTGCAACAAGTCCCGTGAGGATTTCGAAATCGAAGATCGCACCAGCCTCAGGCAATGGAAAAGAGAAAAGTTCATTGCATTGAAGTCAGCCAAATATGTACCGCCTCAGTGAGCCGAGTATTGCGGGTTTTTGTTGGTTACTGAGGCCGGTGAAACCACTCCAAAGGCAGGGCGTTGCGGGAAAATCTGATGGGAAAGAGAACTCAGAGCTCATCAGCTCATGGTGTCTCAGAGATTCTCCGGGTATCTCCGGGTACTGGGGTATACTGGGGTCTTTGCACATCAGCACGTGGCGTCGACGGCGGTCGACTCCGGATGCGAACTGAACCGTGGGCACGACCGGGTGAAGCGAGGGAAGAGTTCCGCCACCACATCATGTTCCTAAGACGAAAGGCAGATGCGATTCCATTCAGAGTAGAAGTCTATTTGCACAATGCAGCCCAGGGGGTACAGAAAGAAAGCACTCGGGGGCTCAGGCTATTCCACGAACCAGAGCAAGAGACATCAGGAGACTGATCACCCAGTGCTGGACCCTTCCCCATCAAGCACACAACAGAACACATGAAACACTGAAACACATGAAACTGCGTGAACCGCCTGACACATGATTCTTCTGTTTGGACGGCCGCAAAGGTTGTCAAACGCCCAGGTGAAGGCATATGTTTCTTCGCTGATTGCGAGGACATTGGTGGCCATTGAGGCTGCCAAATGTGTCAACGATGAGAATAGGGCGGGTAATGAGTTTGCATTAAATGTCATATCTTGGACTCCATTTTGTCACACGTTCCACAACTGCGACATGCAAATGCGATTCCAGTGCATACTTTCCAGAGAAAAGTTTACCATCATCATTTGACCTTCACTAGAGCCACTAGTGAATTCACCTTGGTAGCAGATGGCTAAGGTAAGGGCCCCTAGTGATTTTGAGCCTTTGCCTTTGTGACAAACAAATTCCATGGGCTCAAGTGAACTGCCTCCTTTGCGTCATGACTTATACCGTGTGGGGTGAGTTCCGCGACCCGATCCCCGATCCGGCAGGCACAGAAGGCAACACCTACAGCAAAGACAGCGGCAATTCAGAGCAAGGCAGGTCACAACTGTGCCCACAAGTGGATGTAGTCTCACAGGACGTCGGGCAGTGATCGTACCGAAGACGAGTAGACGTATAATTTTAATGGGTTGGCCTGCCTGCCGTGTGCCAATGCCCCAAGAAACGAGCCCAGAGCATCCCCAATCTCTCTCAGGCGCAAGTCCCAGAACCGGTTGAAGCTGGACCCGTCTCCGCCTACATCTCTGGCCTTTTTGCCCGCTGTGTCCAGCAGGCGCAGGCGCACGAGCGGGGAAGCTGCTAGCAGAGCTGGGGTGGGTGACGTGACCCTTTTGCTCCAGACTTCCAAAGGTGGAATTCTTGGCAACCCCCCAATGTTCCGAGCTTGTTTTGACAAGCAAGTGTTCAGTTTTCTCCATCAGTTCAAGAGCATTGCGATCTCGCTGAAGGAGGGGTTTGACTTTGCCCTTTTCAACCTCACCGGTTGTTCGGCGCACTTTAGCGGGGCTCCTCTCGACAATTGAGAGGACAGGTGTCCAAACAATGTTTTTTCTTTTCCCACACTTCGATGTGCCTTCATCATCCATCATCAATTATATATATATAATTAGTTAGCGCCTTAGCCTTACAAACTGGCAAGGCTCCTGACACCAATTAATTCCAGAGGGGGTGAAGACCTTTCCTTTCAATGCTACACAGATCCCGTTGGAAACAGCACTTCCAGGCCAGAGAGCTGACCCGAAACGAGCAGGCCTAGCGGATCCTTGCGGCCTTCGATCAAAAAAAGTCGATATTGGTGGTGTGGAGTGGCCGGTGTGTCGATTTTTCAACAGATTGCAGTCTCTTTCGATTTTGCCTCTTTTCTAGCATGGAACCCAGATGCTCTTTCGATGCGATGGGACCATGTCTGCGCCATTCTGCGCCCATGTCTGCACCTCGCAGGTCGACTCTGCGGACGTGTCACGTAGCAGCTGGATGCGCTCGCAGGAGATGGCCGCGGCCGAATTCATCGCGGAACAGATGACGAACGAAGCCCTCGAGGTTGAGATTTGCTCGCGGAACGGGTGGCCTGCGGGGCCTGGAGTGCTACACACACATATATATATATATTAAATGTGTAATTATATAAATATATATATATATACAATATGTATTATAGTATATTTTTGTTTTTGATTGATATACATTGTGGTCCTAACATGTCCTAACAACTCAATGGGTGACTGGCATGCTCAGGGGTAGCCTTGTGTGTTTGGCAGACCACGACATTTTCGCATTTTTTGGCTGTCGACCTTGCAACTTGGGCTTTGGGCAGTTGAGTTGTGGTGCCAATACCCAATGTCGATCGAAGCTGTGTTTGATTTGGCCATTGGCTGGGTAAACTTCGTGAGCACTGGCCAGCTGGAACTTTCAACTTCTTGACCTCAACACGGGAGGTTTGCATGATGTGCCTACACCGAAGGCATCTCAACCACCCACCCACCCACCCATGTCGCGGCGGGTGTCGCGAAGGTCATGGAGTACGGAGAAGCGAGATCTCTGATGAACGACTCAGCAGCCACCTGGCCCTCCCTGCGCGCCACGGGCAGCGGGATTTGGGGCCTTTGAAGTGCACATCCCGGTCCAAACTAGTTTTTTTTTTTCTCACCAGATGGCCAAAACCGGAGCTGCATTGGAGCAAAAGACAGCTGGCAACCAGCATTGTAAGAGGATTTCCAGATGAAACATTGTGTTGCCAGTGCTTTGTGTTTTCACAGGGGGTGCAATACTGTAAGTCATCCAAGGAGGGAACATAAGAAAGTCCATCATATGTTAAAATGGAATTGGCGTTTGCTCCAAGCTTCAAACGCAGAAAAGCGATCAGCCTGCCAGTGTTGCGCGGTCTCACCAAGAAGCACTTCGCCGTCCAGCTGTCATAGCCACTGGGCGAGCGCACGTTAGAGGAAAAGTCACTGCAGACTGATGCAGACTGACTTGTGAAGCCTATCCAGTCGAAGCGGGCCCCCTACTGTACCGACCCGGTCGTTCGCGAGTATTGGTTTGCTCTGGCAAAGAGAAGGGTTCAACCTTGGTTTTGGGATGTTTTGGGGATTGGCAGGCAATCAGAACTTTGATGCACGCTCACGCTCCTCACCAGCTACGCTCAGCCTTTGGTCAAGCTGTCAAGAACAATGGACGGCTAAGAACATACACAATTGACTGAGAACAATGACTCGTGACTCATGACCAGTGCGGTAAAGCAAGAAGATGAAACGAGGCTTGAGTAGAAAGGCTTGAGCAAGCAGATTCCCCTACCGCTGCACATTTCACCCAGCACAGTCTACAGACCAATCGAAGCCTCTCCATGGCCCCCTTTGCCGCCTTGTTGCCAGCCTGGCTTCCTTCAATAGCATCAACTGCATCCAAAGCATGACATCTCCACATTATTTGGGGCAACTGGGGGGCATCCCAAAGTTCAAAGTGGTCCGGGTGCAGGAGCCATTGTCAACGGGAAAGGCATTTTGCGGCCATCATCTCAGGCCAGGCCTCGTCACCCCAAGCACCCAGAAAAACAGGACTTACTGTAGACTCATGCTCCAGCCGGGGTGGGGGTGGGTTTCCGTCACACTTGTTTGGCATGTCATGCTTGGTCATGCTTTTGGTGAATCTTCGGCAGGTTTGGAGAACAGTCTCAAGATCCTTTCTTTTGTGGGGCGGAGCTTCCATCGGCACTGCTCACATTGGACCATGCCGGGTGCGCCTGGGAGTGCAGCTGCCAAGGCGGGCGCCGCCAAGGCGCAGGAGCAGCAGCGGCAGCTGGAGCAACAGCGGCAGCTTGAACGGGCCGCTGCGGAAGCTGAGGCTAAGGCGTCCCAACGGGCGCAAGGCAAGGTGGGTGGCTGGGAGGTTGGTTTGGTGGGTGGCTCATTCTTTGTAAAGCAACATCTTCACACGCTTCTCAAGGCTGGCGGGCCTTCTTAAACTTGTCGCGGCCCACACTCCACACCGGTACCACGCTTCAGGTGATGTGCTCTCAGCTAGCTGCTACCCCAACGAGGCAGCCGAATACTTCGGCGAGTCCTTCGCACACCGGCTCCGCTGGGCACACGCTGTGAACTCGCTGCGGGTGCTGCGGAGCGCGCTGCGGGGGAATGCGAAGCTCGCCATGGAAAGCGCATCCGAGGATACAGTATCGGATAAACATCTATCTGAATTTTTATTGTTAGGCGTCCACGTGTTGAGGGGTGAACACCAACACGTGCAAGTCGCAAGCATCATGAACAAACAAAGCCACTAGTGACAAGCCGATCTCAGAAGGCGATTGAGAGAGAGAGAGAGAGTGCATGTGATATTCCCAAGGCCCTTTGTAGGTCAATGCACGTCAATGCATATACAGCTCATTCATGCTCATTTTGTCCTTTATATCCATGTTGTGTTTGGTCATTCCGTCTCTTTGTGTGTCACTTTTTGGACATTTGGCTTTGCCTGAGGCACTTCTTAGAGGCCGATGTCTCCGCGGGCACGCTGACGCAGGAGAAGGAGCCGAAGGAGTCACCTACCAGCAAAGCTTCACTACTGGAGACTTCCGCCTCTCGGTCAAGCGGACAGAGGTCTCGGTATCTCGAAACATCCAGCGTCCGATCGCTCCGTTCGTAGCGATGCCAGGAGCCCCGATCGTAGCTTCTTATTCCTAGTAGTACGGCCAGGAGCCCCTAGTAGCGTTCTTTGCCTTGAGGTTGGCAACGAACATGTGTTGGGGTTCCTATAAAAAGCAAATATATTCCAGTTCGTGAGCATGATGGTTGATATATGTTTCTTCGTTGCAAACGATTTAGATCGTCCGTTCCAGCTTGAGGTTTCCACATCTTCCGACCTCCCCATCATCATGGCTCACTACCCCACGCAGCGTTCCAGCGACCTGTGCTTCGAGCTCTTCATCGCAGCAATCTTGAAGCACAACGCCCAAGTGGATGGCCTAGACGCCGTTGAGGATGGCCAGGCGTGCAGCCCATGGGGCGGTGGTTAGTCCACCCAGCCGTGAGTCCAAGAGCCGTACAAGGCTGTTTTCGGACAGGTCGTGGAGGTTTGCAGGGGCTATGTTTCTTTTTCTTTTGGAGGGGGGTGCTTTACTGCAGCGGTTTGTTGCACAATGACGCTTGCTGCTTGCCAGCGGAAAATCAATCCAAGATTCTCCATTTGGCAGCACGTTCATGAGACGTCTTCTCGCGCATGTGGCACAACAAAATGTCATTGAACGTTGCATGGACAATACCGAATAAAGTAACATCGGAAGGGTTTTCCATGCTATTGAAAAAGACTGTTAGTCTGACACATTGAGTGTTGCAAGTGCTGAGAGTGCCGGACTTCCTTGCCCCAGGTGGAGGAGACCAGTTCCTCCCCTGAGCGGCCACAGCGCTCGCCCTTCTCTGAGCCAGTCCTGCATGGCCAGGAGGATGTGCTGGTGCGCCGCTTGGTACTCGAGCTCGATGTGAGGATCTCTCATCCACCGACAGGTTTCAGAGTAGATGGTGCATCCTGCAAATGATTATTGTTTTTGACGCGGATCCATTTGTCAAACCTTTTGAGTCTTGCGGATTGTGCCAGCTGTAGAAGTCACAGCATCCCCGTCGTTTGTTGGATGGGAGTTTCTTGACATCATATACCCATCGCTTCTTGGAACCTGTCGCCCTGTGGTTGCACCGTTTGTTTGTCCGAACTGGGGCGATGGGGAGGGTGAAAGATACCTGATCCACCCAGAAGCGGCTTCAACCGAACAGTCAGGGTAGCTTTAAAAATAATGCTGTCGAATCATGAAGTTTCCATTTGGACCACTCCTTTCACCCAATCTCCATCACTCACAATTGGCTGTGTTCACATTCAATTGGGGCTAAATATGGCTACCTTATATGTTCGCTTGCGCATCACTACACCAGCATTGCTCTGGCCACTCTTCATTATTTCATACCCAGGAGAGCTGACCCATGGAACCACTTTCCCCCAGCATCATTTGACTGCTCTAGGCTCTAGGCTCTAGCTAAAAAGTGAAGTGCCCTGTTTTCACATGTTTTCACCGGCTTCAGCCGGATTGGATTTCAACTCCCGACTGTCCGACCGTCCAAGTCGTCTCAGGAAGCCCTGGAGCCCTGGAGACGAGCCACAGTGTGCCGCCCGGCGCGTTGGAGGCGGAGGCCTTCGCGGGCGATCTGCATCGAGAGTTGGAGTCCTCGGAGACTTGGGATGATGTGGGTGGCAGGGGGCGTGGCAGGGTGGCTGCTTGCGTAGGCGTAGGCATCTTTTCCCCCTGCGGTTGTGGAGTTCATAAATTTAAAACATAAACTATAATTAGTAGTATGCAAACGGAGTCCTCCGAATGCGTTTTTCCTTTGTTTTCATGGAGTCTTTGATTGGGATGCAGGTGAGGTTTGATCAGGTTCTTTAGCTTCTTCAGGTCGTTAGGGATTCCTTTCACTACAACATACTATAACTATCTCTCTTGGGTTTCTTTGTGCTGGCAGATGCTGGCAGAGTGGTTGTTCAGTGTTCATCCCAGAGGTTTTTAGTATCGGTGAACCTGCAAGTTGGCATGATGCTTGCGCGACGTGACAGATGTGACCGATCCATCTCGGTCTCCAAGGATCACAACCAGATGATGATGGCGTGCATCGGGGCACGCAGAGGTAGCACTGGCACCTGGGCAACATCTCAACGTCTCATCACGTCCCATCCCGATTTGCATCCGTTTCGCAGCACCAGCGTTTTTTTGTTCTATATATAGGTTAGCCTACATGCAAGGTTGAGCATGTTACAGCATGTTGCGCAATGTTGTACATGAACAAATGAGAAGTCGTTGCAAATTGGTTCGTCATGCCTTCACTAGTTCAATCTGATTCCAACCATTAATAGTCTGATAATTTCTGGTGCCACGATGTTGTTCAAGCCCTCTTCCATCACCGGTAGACAGGATAGACGGTGGGCATTGCCTCTTCCAAGGTCATCCCTTCCACCAAGGTACTGACCTCCGAGTGAGAAACTCCTCAAAGAAAGGAGTTAAGCTGGACTTCAAGGTCTTTGAGTCTCGGCTCCGGTTTGAGGGACCTGTTACATCCTGTTACAGTTGTTTCAGAGTCAATCCCCAAAAGATTGTTTATACACGTTTGTGCTCCGGGGAAGCCACTATATTTTTGTTTTCAATGTGCACCCGGCCTGACCTGGTGCTTTATGGCTCTTCGTAGAAGAAAGCCAATGGACAAATCAATATTCTCAACTTCAGATCTTCATTCCTTCCACGCCAGATATATTCACCGTTCCCCCAGGAGTGTGTGGAGCCGGCCTTGCGCCATCTCCAAAGCGTCGACGCCGCGCGGAAGCTCGGTGGCCACTTGTGGCTCAACGCTGACGTCTTCGCTGGGCCCGGCTACCCCGAGCGCTTCCTGTCGCCCATCGATGCCAGGAACACGGCGCCATCGGAGACGGGAGGTCTGACGACCTCAAAGATGTCCTCAAACAAACATCCAACATCTAATAAAAATCAGTGAACTACTGGTGGACGGTGGGTTGCGGGCTGTTGCGGGCCAAAGTTCTGGACTAAATAGAAAGCAAACGCGTGTGGGTCTCCACGGAAACTCTGCACTCATGAAGGTGCATAGAAAAAACAGGTCTGACAGGATTGCGGCAGCTAATGGATTTAGTTTTTAGATGGACAATCCATCACGACCATTGCTGCGGCAGCGCGTTACCCAGTGCAATGACAACACGACAGCAGACCCTGACACTGACAACACACGATGACAAACCAAAGAAAACCGCGGCACATCCTGCCAGTGGCCGGTCCCCCTAGTGCTTGCAGCAGGTCATTTTGGGACTCACCTGTTCGGGTGGGGATAGCTCAAGGCAAAGTAATTCTCCACAGCTCAAGGACCCTAACTCTTTTGGAGCTCTGTTAGAAGCAGGACGCCCCAGGACCACTGTTTCGTACATTTTGATACAGGATAAGTTGCGAGGCCCCTCATTGGAGTCAGTGTGTTGTTGCCGTCCCTGCAGGAACTTTGTGCAACTTTGCGCTGAACTGGTGCCCGAAGCGGTGCTATCCTTGTGCCTTTGGCACGGTGGGTGTGTGTGCATCGAAGGTTCTTAAATCATGGTCATTCAACATGAGGGAATACTAAAATGATATGATTTTCCAATGGTCTTTCTTCCTGCTCTCGGGTGAATTGCCGGAATATACGATAAACTGCAACCTGAAGGATGGCTGACAAATGTTGACAAGCAGGCGGATTCACGTGGTTTTCTCAAGTGGTGTTCCAACGCAACGGGGGCTATGAATGCTCACCAGCTCATAAAATGCCAGGACATTCTTTGTTTGTGCCAAGAGTGGTGCTTGGGCAACGGGTCATGCAGAATTCATATAGTAGATCGGTAGATCAGATCGATCCACAAAGTCAGTCGGGGATTTCTCACGTCGGTCCTTCAGGTCGCCTACAATACACAATGTGTGTCCAGACGAAGAAGTGGTTCCAGATTCTAGATGGGGATGCCAGGATATCGCACACTTAGACTTAGTCTCATTTTGTCAGTGGTCCCAGACCTGGACACGCAAGTTGGTGAGTTTTGATGGAGATCAAGCACCAAGATGGGTTCGTGGACAACGTGGGGGCTCCTTGTGCTGCATTGCCCCCTACCCCCTTATCAAAAGGACACTGCCGAGGGCCGAGGTCAACTTCCTCCTGTGCTCCAATCTGGTCACCCGCTCGCCCAAGAACTAAGGAGTTGGGGAAGCTCTTCCCTTTCGACCAGCAGGTGGGCACTGACGATGCCCGAGCGCGGCGCGAACGATGCATGGAGATAGATCCAAGTCCCTGTGGTTTTAGGTGATGTGTAGGCTTCTGGCATTACTACTGGGAGCAAGGACGCTACTAGTAACAAAGGGCATCGCTACTAGGAACAAGAAGCTACTAGTAGCAGGGGCATCGCTACTGGGAACAAGGTGCATTGCTACTAGTAGCAAGCAGGAGAGAGAGAGAGAGAGCACGGAGGTGCGATGCATGCCACCCAGTGCCACCCGTATGCCATAAGCCGGTTAGCTAGCCGTGGCCGCCGTAGCCTCTATGTAAGCCATGCATTCAGAGTCCCCGCACGGAACAGCAGAGTAGACGTGAAGCCCCACTTCACCTCAGTGAGCCTCCCAGTTCTCAACCCTTGAGGTGTTATTCGCCAGACATGGTGGACAGCCGCTTGGAAGCACGATTAGGCACACAAGGAACTCCCACCTTGTGGATGCAACACACATGCTTTTCATTCACCTTCAAACGGACTGAGCTGGACGACTTTGTAAAAACATGGTGTTACACAAACATCTCAGCGAACTGCCACCTTGTTCAATCTACCAACTACATCCCCACCTATACCATCCTATACCAGATCAATGACGCATGACCGAACCCGAACCCTCCACACACCTCAGCAGAAGTCCAGAAAGTCGCATCCATCAATCTACTGGCATTTGTTTGCACCCTATTATCATTTCTCATCATTTTCGCCAGATCATCCGTGCCCAGGGATGATCGAGCTTTGCATGTCTCCCATCGTGCCGCGGCCCATCCGGGCGCGGGACGGGCGAGATGCCAATGGCTCAGTTGTGCAGCTACGAAGGAAGTTCGATTAGAAGCCGAAAGAAAACGTTTCATGACTTTTTCTGTTGGTTTTGGAGTTTAGTAGGACCTTCATAGACGCATCGCTTGAGAAGTGACAAGAACGGATTGGATGCAAAACATAGCAGGATATGTCACTGGGCACATCGGCCACCGCCTTTTCAGGCACCAGATGCAGTGCCGAAAGAGGCCGGGGAGTGTGAAAGGATGGGAAGCAGATTGACAAAAGCCCTACAATCGCGCCTCAGTTGGGGTGAAGAGGCGTTCCCCGACCCGCTGACGGTCTTTTTGGGACACGCGATGAACGATCCACGTTGGCCATCGTGGAGGCCACAACTCTCGACCCAAGCGGGGACATCCGCGCGGGACCCTGGAATCCATGGATTCCGGTGGGAGGCTGGTGCCAGGTGGTCATGACTGCCTTCATGCACACCCCTTGGCCTTCAACAGGGCGTGCCTCATTGCCTCACCTGGAAGAATATAATACAGTAGTATATCATAGTATATCATTTGTTCTCCATGCTTTGGAAGCTTTTGGAAGTGCCCGTTGCAGATTTCTGTGTTGGCTGCAGTGATCATTCCAATGCGAACCCCCGAAAACCTACGAAAACAATCGAAAACACCAGCCATCCGAAATCCTCCCAGTCAAAGCATGGCCTTTCCATGCCTTTCCATCATGCAAGCGTTGTATCGCCCAGGTCGGGTCAGTGAGGAGTTGTACTGCCTCACTCCAGTGTCTCAGCTACTTCCAGACTGTCGCGGCTTTAGATACTTGTGGGTCCCACGAGAGTGCTTTCAAAGGGGCAGTTGCGTAACAGTTTAACATGGTGCCAGGTCCAATGCGCTCGCGAGTGCACCACGATTGCACAGTAGGACCAGTACGCGGGTCCAATCATGTGCTTTCTATGCCCTCAGTAGATGAGAAAGGAGAAACAGTCAACAATGCAGTTGGCCCCAGAGCTGAAGCCAAGCAAACTGAATCTTTAGTGTGATGGGTGGTGGCAATCCTGCGAACCTTCGTGGAAATTTTGAAACCGTCCGTCCTGGCTAGCGGCTAGCACTGAAGATACAGAAACATCGCTGATCACGCGGTCGTTTCTACCGGGGACGGAATTCCCCTTGTGGGGGAACCACGTAACGCACGCAACTCACCGACAACTCATTGTACATGGTCGTGTTTGGAATCTAGTGCAAATCACAGATACAGATAGGGGGCCTCACCAAACATATATGCCCATGTCCTTTACACAAGACAAAACCGACTGTAACAACCGTTCCTCTCCGATCCTGAGGCGGCCAGCTGCCAACACATCACCTTTGCAGTGGCCGCAGAGTATGCCTTGAATTCCTCCGCGTCAGGGGCGCCCAAGTGTTTTCTTGTCTTCTGGTGTTACTTCTTGGACGTCGCGTGGCGTTGGATGCAGATCCCAGTTCTAGTTAAGTAAGATGCACTAGTACACTATACAATACATGGTCGGTTGGTTTGGGCCGAGGTTTGTGAGATATCAGGTCAGCTGTGTGTGTGTGTGTGTGTCCACCCCTGGAAAAAGGGTTCTCAACCAACTTCGGCAG